GGGCGCCCCCGCGCATTCGCCATCCGAGCTCGAGCGGCCCGAGCGCGGCTCGTCGTCCGTGCCCCCGGCGGCAGCTGCCATGGCAACGGCTCCGCTCGGGCCTGGCCGCGGAAGCCTCGTTTCCGACCGACCCACCGACCCACTTCCCTCCGCCCTAAGCCTCGCTGTCAGCAAGCGGGCGGGCCGGGCCTGCAACCACGGCAACCGAGCGGGAGGCGGGCTCGGGCCGCGAGCTAAGCGCCCCGGACCAATGGCGACCCTTCCAGCCTTCGCCTCTCAGCCAATCGAGGAGCGAGGGTGGGCATAGTAGAAGCTGGAGACTAGGACAGGGTTCCCGGCAGCGTGACTGGCGGACGTTTGAACCAATCACGAATTTGAAGTGCCGTCGTCCGTCGCTACCGGAGCCAATAAAACAGCTGAGTTTAAGACACTCTTTTTTTTTTTTTCCATTTCCCCCCGGAAAGATAACGGGCAGGTACTGTAGCCAATCATGTTAAGACCATCCGCAGCCAATGACAAAGGGAAGTGAAGAAGCCATGCTATACGTGTAGATAGATACAGACATAATCTAAGTCGATTGACACACAAAACGATCTTCCCACAGATGGAAGGAAAATAAGTTCAGATTTGGAGATATCATCACAAACTGTGGAGTAATACCTTCTGAATGCAATAGATTTCCTTTAGTCGGGGTTCTGTCGGTAACTCCGGCGTTGATCACTAATTTACAAAGAATTGTAACTCAGCATAATCACATCAGAGCAGCACTTCAGTCAAGAGGCAGGCTTGGAGCCAGGTGACTATCTGTGCTGAGTCGTGGACACAGGATCAGACTCGGCGCCCCTGAAATGCTCACAAGTTTACCGGGAGAAGTCAGCCCGGAAACAGGGAAGTATTTTATGATGAACTTAGCAACATCTCACGGGTACCCTGTTTTGTAAAACTCACAACCCCGTACCCCACAAACACTTCTATAAGGTAGACAAGGAGCACCATCCCTATTTTGTAGAGGAGGGGCCGAAACTAGAGAGAGAAGGACTTGTTCGTGATTGCCCAACTTTCGTGGGACCTGGTCTTGCATCCAAGCAAAAGTTCTTCCCGTACATAAACCCTCTCACTCAGCCAGGTTAGAATGGAATCTTTCTCTGACAGCTGGAGTACTTCCAGCACTGGACAGCACTTCCAGATTTTGCAGGGCACACAGAAGGCCATTGTGAGGATTATCATTGTACCACGTGGAAAAAAATGTTCTAAAAATCTTCATTAGAACTCTCCTTCTCTGCCCTATAACTGATGAGTATATGCCAACTGCACTTGTAGCTAGAAGGAATGGAGGAAAGAAACGAACATTATTGAACATGTACCATTTATCAAGTGCTTGGTATATATTACATCATTTAGTTCTCCCTCACAAGAGCCTTACTTAGCACCTGGGTATTATACCTACTTCGCAGATCAGGAAATTGAGGTTCTGAGGTGTTATGTGAATTGTCCAAGGGTACAGAGCTAGAAAGTTAAAGGACTGTGATTTGAACCCAGACCTGTTTGAGGCCAAAGTCCTCTCCATCATGCTGCTTTTTAAAATGAAAAGCCTGCTGGAAACCCAGCTCTGGAGAGTCTAAGCGACATCTGGGTATTTGCACCTAACTCCTACTGAATGTATCCTGAAATTCCTCCTTTTTTTTTTCACAGTACACTGATGACAACTTGTTATAATCTGTTGGCAGCACACAGACCAATATTAATTAAACCAGAGCTGTGTCTACGTAGAAGTGGGCAATAATATATGACCTTCTATGGGGAACTGTGTGCACTTAATCATCATGTTTTACTATTTTGATCTGCTTATGCTACTTAGTTTCCTTTTATAGATGCTCAATCTCCTTATTGTTACCAAATTAGGCTCTTGGGTCCCAAAGTCATAGAAATGAACAATGCACCCAGCAGTAAAGCAAGCAACACTTTATTAGAGGAGATAGGCGTATGCATAAGGGGGTAGCTACAGAGAAGCTAGGCCCTCCAGGGGAACTATTCAGGGTCCTTTATAGGACAAGGGGTTTAGGGATGTAGGCACCTCTGGAGGTGGTCCATTCTGTACTTCCTGGTTGCATCATGGGCATGTGCTCAGTTAGGGCTTTGGTCCTTGCACCTGCTCAGGATGGTGGTGATGTCCATGATCACCACCCCATGAGAGTCATTGTAGTGATCACCTTGAAGCTTTGTGCACATTTGGGAACTCCTAAAGGTGTCTTAAGGTTAATCTGTAACTCAATTTTTACAATTATGAGAAACAAGCCTTGGGGAGGGGTTTTGCAACTCAGTGAATATCTCTTTCCCTCTTATCTCAGTTTATTTTGTCAGAGAGAGCCATGGGGTAATCATGTGCCCTGGAGGTCTCATAACTGAGGAGTGGAAAAGTAACAAAGCATCCTCTGCAGGGAAAATGGAGTCAGTTTGGTTCACAGGCCTATCCTGTTCGGTCTCATTAAGATGAGTGATCTCTTCATGGTGTTTTCTCAAGGCCGCCAGTAGTTCTTTAGTCTGCGCTCAGAAGTATCATTCCTCTTCAACCTGTTCTCTCTTTCTGAAAGCTCCACTGGCTTCCCGAACTGAGCCCAGAGTCCCATGGAGATTCTCTTGACTGGTCCCAGCTAAAGGTCACATGACCCTCATGCCCCACACACCGAACCCCGTCTGCGCAGCCAGGCTGTAATTGCCATCATTGTTAGTGCTGCACCTCTCGTGTCCCTTCTCTTTTTCCATGTAATAACCTCCAAAATAATCTTCATCACTCCAGTTTCCCTTCATAGAATCTGAAGTGCCTGTGCTGCCTGAAGCACAATTCTCTGCATCTCCGGGAGGTGCCTTCCCATTGAACTAAGGATGAAGTCCAAACCCTTCATCCTGGCAGTCAAGACCCTTGATGATTTTGGCCAAACTATCTTTTTAGCTGTTTTCTTCCTCCTGTCAGTGGATCTGATCTTCAAGGTATTCGATCTACCAAGTGTTTGTGTCAAAAACCTTGGACTTTGAACAGAATCCCTGAACATCTAAGTGGTTGTTAATTTTACTTCTAATATTTAAATCAAATTTGTTGAAGTATAAATTACATAGCCTGGGCCAGCCCGTGGCTCACTCGGGAGAGTGTGGTGCTGATAACACCAAGGCCATGGGTTCGGATCCCATATAGGGATGGCCGTTATCTCGCTGGGTGAGCGTGGTGCTGACAACACCAAGTCAAGGGTTAAGATCCCTTTATGGGTCATCTTTTTAAAAAAAAAATAAATAAATAAATAAATGACATAGTCCAACTCTCTCTGTATTGCAAGAACCACTTGTTTTATTGGATTGGGAAGAATGAGATGTGGGTTAAGTGTGCACACCATTAGACTCAGCCGCACTTGAACCTATGAAGTTGTATTCCACCATAATTCCTGGCTCAGCAACTGGCACCAAGTACATTGAAGCTATTTGACTGACTGACTAACTGAATGAATGAATGAGTGAAGACGCACAGTGGTTAAGACCATCATTTCTGGAACCATAAATACATGGGACTATGGCTTTGAGCAAGTGACTACCTTTCTGAGCCTCAGTTTCTTCATCTGTAAAACGGATGCAATAGCAGTACCTATGTCATGTAGTTAACAGAAGATATATGATAATGGGGGCCGGCCGGTTAGCTCAGGCGGTTAGAGCATGACTTTGTAACACCAAGATTAAGGGTTCAGTTCCCCATACTGCCAGCCACCAAAAAAAAGATATATGATAATGATATGAGTAAAGCATTTAGTACAGAGCTTGGCATAGTTATTGCTCAGAAAAATGGAAGCTATTGTTATTATTAATAAATAATAAAAAAAGAAAATTAAAATAAATATGAGTAGGAGGCAGGATAGGGACCATGCAAATCCTATGCAAGAGTGGGCACATCACACACTTGAACTTGACCTAAGGGTGCTGCAAGCATTCACACACAAGTTATTTATATTTTGTCAATCTGTAAATAAAACATGAAACACTTGGGAATCCAGGGACTTGAGTTCTAGCCCTGACTCACTTTGTGATTTGGGGTCAAGGGTCCCCCTTCTCTGGACCTCAGACTTCCCTTCAGGAGGTGTTGTTCTAGGTCAGATATTGACACCAGCTCAGTGCAGATTCAGCAAGCTGGCTTTCCTTTCCTTGTTTTTTTTTCCTTCATTGTGTTGGATTTCACAGTGTTTTAGAGAAATTTGAACTGGCTGTCAACATTTAAAAATTGAGAGCTTTCACATAAAATTTTTGACTTTCAGATTCTCTTAAAAATGGGATGATATGGTAATACAGGTCCACCTTTACCACAAGGCAGCAGTTGGTTGGAGCTGCATAGCAACTTTTGCCTTTAGGTGAGGCACAGTGTTCTGGTTTGCCATAATCCCCATCACCTTCTATTACCTCCACATTGAGGCCTAAAGGTCGTTCCCATTTACTGTTATACTTGTGCTGCTGTCCTTCTTAAGCAGAATTAACAGGAAATGAAAATATTTCATTTACCAAAAGTGGAAAAATGAAAACTAGCATGGAGGAAAATTATCTAATATCTAAAAACATGGGCCGGCCCGGTGGTGCACTGGATAAGTGAGCCGCTTGGGAAGCGCGGAGGGACTCCCACCCGAGGGTTCGGATCCCACATACAGACCGGTTCCCGCTCACTGGCTGAGTGAGGCGCGGGAGCAACACCGAGGGTTGCGATCCCGTTGCCGGTCCCCGGTCCGGTACGGGGGCAACACTGAGGGTTGCGATCCGTTGCCGGACACGGAAAAAGACAAAAAATAAAATAAAATAAAATAAATAAATAAAATAAATAAAAACATGGCAAATGGTAGTTAAGTGGCTTTTTAATATCATGCTAAAGAACTTTTTTTATCTTTTTGCTGTCCAGGGATCAAACTCCATAATCTACCAGCTCATGCTAAAGAATTTCGAAAAAAGAGACTGGCTGGTGAGTTCAGTTGGTTAGAGTACAGCCTTATAATGCCAAGGTCACGGGTTCAGATCCCCACCCCGGACAGCTGCACCCCCCCCCCAAAAAAAAAGAATTT